CCTGGGGGGGGCGTGTTGGGTTAGTAACCAAATCAAGCGCTACACCCTTTTGAATTCAAATCTAACTCTGATTTTTTTACTTTAGAGTACTGTTACGGCGGTCATCAGTTTGGTGGCTCGGGCATCTTCGAGATGTCTCCCAAGGACACCAACGCTCTCGGCCCCAACTACATCTACAGGTTCGTGAGGTTTCGTTGTACTTTTGAAATTTTAACTGTTTTCTACGCCAAAAAACATATTTGCTTTAACTAGATATATGGTTCAGTATGGTATATGGTAATAAGCATTGCCTTTGAAACCCTAATAAAAAGTCAAATAGTATTCAAGTTAAAATAGACATGTTACTATAAGATTGGAGTAACTTATTGTCATTGAGAAATTATTTTTGTAACGGTCATCCTGGAGGAGCAGGGATAAAATATATCGATTAATAGATAATAGCATTATCTGTAGGTATCAGAAAGGTGTCGTTATTTTGAAGCTTAACTTAAGTCTCCGCATAGCCTGCACGTTTCGCGTAAATATACATCAAGTGTATGTTTAAATACATCCGTCGTGATTGCCCTTATAACGTTCTCGTCAAGACCCTTTCAGGCACCGGCAATTCGCCGTAAAAAAAGAGTGATGACGAGCATCCGCATTGAATAAATTTCCTCGGAGTTTGAAGGAATTCCCGCGCAGTTAAATGTTGTGGCCAGAACTCATCAAAGTGCAGGCACAGTCCCGGTTCCTCACAATCCAGTAGGTCCGTTGAAATCTCCTAAGATTTGCCTGTACTTATGAGGAAGTAGATTCAACGCATCCAGTCTGAAATCGTAAGATAAAGTACTTAGGTCGTTCACGATTTTCGTTACCCTGCTTTTAACCCTTCCCAGCACCTTACATTCGTTTAAGTCAGGGTCCCTACGCCTAGATTCCCTCTTTCAGTTAAGAACGTATAAAAATTCCGTATACTTTACCAAATAGCTCCCTATCTGTATGTATACAAGTCCTTTTGATGGCGAACAAAACCCCGGTTGCCTTTTTTAGCCATCCTTATGCAATTTGAGGGGGGCTTTGGGGATGATAGAATGGCGGTCCCAAGGTGTTTTTGTTCGGCTACATTTGATAAGCACCTTTCGCTTAGGAAGTATCGGTGAGCAGCTTCATTATTCCTCTCCTTCTTCGCTTTGAGCTGCAGTACGATACACTCATCATATAGGACAGTCGACGCGGGCTCGCCAGGACTCTGCGCAACTTGATAAACGCGTGCAGTGAGTTTCGATCCAACTTATCTGCAGAATGCCAGTCAGGCACCCATGCTCGCACCTCGCCCCCCCCCTTTACAGTTGTCCGCTTCCTGTACTCGACTCATGAATATTGCTCACAGCCTACTCTACTTCCCGCCTCCCCCAGTCCCATTGCCCTCAACATCTCGACGTCGTCATGCAGGCAGTGGGAGAACTATGGGTTTTAACCGTAAGACATTTATGCATTTGTATAGGCCCGATGATGAATTGATGAAAACGCATGTTTTTTAAATTGGCTTTTCAGGAAGTCAAATGGCCTCATGATGCGCTCTAATGGGGCTGTACTGTGTTTGCACGAGCCCGCGTTTACTAGGGAGGGGAGGGG